TATCAATTGTATTTGATAATTAATTAATTCATTAATTAATTAACACGATTAACACGTATTTTAAAAATATTTCAGGTGTGGAAAATAATTAGCAATTATTGCTTAATCAGAGAGTAATAATGAAAATTTTTATGGGGGGAATAATTGAGAATATAATTTAATTATAGAAAAAATTAAGAAACTGTAAAATAACTATTTAGCGAATTTTTTTTCTTTTTTAATTTTCTTTCTCCTTTTTACGTAAATTAATTACTGACATTAGAATATAATTTTTATATTGTATTTGGTATTATTTATAAATTCATTTTGTTATTTTATTGTGTTTCAGTTATTCATTTTGATTCTCATTGATTTACTTCGTCCACACGTCGCAAGAGGCGCTGCGCGTTATTTTTCCAACGGACTTTGAAACTATTTGGCTATTTTCACGCCGTTGCTGCACTTTGACGCCGTTATCGCAACTTTGAAGTTTATGTTAAGAAGAGAAGTTTTATTTTTTCTCTAAAATGGAGAATTTTACACAAAAGAAAATGGAAATTTACAACGCTGACAAATTTTATTAACAAGAAATTCGACAAAAGGAAAAAAGTGAAGTTATACAAAAGTGACGAAGAAAATATAAAAAAAAGAGAAAAAAAATCTTCTAATACAGAAAAAATCCAAATATGGCGCAGATTAAAGGATAATGGAAAAGAAAACAGAAATAAGAAAACATTTGTCAGGTATAAGTTCATAATTTTTATTTATTTATTAAAAAATTGGAATACTGAAGTATTTATTTTACAAATGAATATTAAAAATTATTAATAACTAATATTTTTGTTCTATTTCGAAAAGCCGGGTATAAAAGCAAAATTCGTTTTAATTTTTATTTATAAACGTAAAATAAAAATTGTCTAATCTCACGTCCTTATTTGATCTCAAATAAGACATTTTTGCTTGTTTCATAATCCTTGCGGAAATTCCAACAAGTTAAAATTTTCATTTTTTGTTTCAAAATCACATGAAGGACGTGACTTTAGACAATTTTGTATAAATTACAAAAATTAATACGAATTATCCGTTTCTTTCTATTAACTTTAATTATTCACGCAGGTATGACATTTTTTTAAACTTTAATAGTTATCGAATCATAATTTCGGTCTACAAAAAATATTATAGTCTCTGGAAAACTATATATATATATATATATATATAATTATACACCCAGAAAAAATATATGTTCGACTCAGGGCCAAACTAAACTTTTTAATTTCTTTCAAATAAATTTGCATTTGGTTCGAAATAAAATGTTATTTGGTTCACATAAAAATTTTATTTGTGTCAAAGGAAATTTTTATTTCAGACAAATAATTTGCGGTTCAAATAAAAATTGTATATTTAGTTCATATTATAAAATATTATTCGGTTCAAAAAGAAATTTGATTTGTGCCGAAGAAAATTTTTATTTAAATCAAATAATTCGGTTGAAATAAAAATTGTATTTTCGTCAAATAAATTTATTTGACTAAAAAATGTTATTCAAAAAGAAATTTGATTTGTGTCGAAGAAAATTTTTAATTTCAATCAAATGATTTGGTTCAAATAAAAATTGTATTCTGGTAAAAAAAATATGTTATTATGGGTTCAAATAAAAATTGCAATTTTGTCGATGAAAATGTTTCTTTAAAACAAATAAATTTATTATAGTAAATTTCGAAACGAATATATACTTTTATTTAACTCAAATAAATTATGTTTGGATTAAATAAAATTTTCCTCTGGGTGTGTAATTTTTATAGGAGAATTAAATATATCGAGAGAATATGAACCGAATAGAAACGGGGTATAATAATTATTAACATCATATTCACATTGACGCGTTATAAATTTACTCGAAACTTGTAATTTATTCAACGTAATGTTGTTATGATGAATTAGAGTTAACACCAATACAAATATTTTGACATTTAAGTAGCCGCGTTTCCATCGAGTTTTCGAATACATTAAACGTGTACACACATATATATGCGTACATATAATTATTAAAGGTCTCTACCTTTAATATTGTAGTTTGTGTAGCTATATATAATGACCGGAATGTTCGTTCGATCTAGAGTAATTTATGTCACATATGTACAATTTCCTGCGACAAAACTTGATTCTTAGATGGCAGTTATATTCATGTCACGAAAACATCATTTTTTATGCTCGACCTTTAACATATTGAAGGCAATAGAAATTATTAAAAACCCACCTCTAATATGTGAAAAAGTATATATAAAGTAGAGGAAAAAAAAATTATTAAGCCCATTAAAAGTATTACAAACGCAGTTCTATGTTTAATTATCTAGCAAAATATTTATTTTGTTCGTTTGCCATAAATAATCAAAAATAAAGTTAAGGTCGTTTTTTTAAATTGCTTTTATGCATCAAAACAAAAAGAAACTTTTTATATATACATTCGTGTTTTCTTTTGCAAGAAACATAATATATGTTATGCAAATTGTTCTTATATATCATTTACGAAATAATTATTTGCACGTTGGTTTTTTTTTTCGTAAATTATGCATATTTATTCTATGGATCTTCATAGCAATTTCTAATCTAGGGCGTCGTGCGCGTATATATTATTTGTAATTTTTCTAATTTTTTAATCTGAATTTTTTTCGTAAGAATAATTGCGGTTATATTGTACATATGTTGCATATTTGTTTATTTTCGCTAATTACATTTTTAATTTGGTTCTTTATCGCAGAAATGTTTCTACTTTGAATATTTCGAAACTGAAATTTTTAAGGGCAGGTCAATGTCAACTGAACTTTTTCAATGAAGCTTTATGAAAAAATCGCATATCGACTTTGACATCCCCTTTCAGGGGATGTCAAAGTCTATGGGATTTTTTCATTGAAGCTCTGGTGTTAAAATCGCATCGACTTTTGACACCTCCTTAAGTTCAAGTGAGGGACGTGACAGTAGACGATTTATTATTTTCAATTTACTCGTATAATAATTCAAAATAATTTTTTTGGACATGAAGACTATAAAATTTTTATTAATAAATTGTTTTTAAGACAATTCTATTATTCATTGGCAAATGAAGACGAAAAATATAAATTTTTAATTTTACCTTCCTGACGTTTTTTTAAATAAAAGAGAATTTGAACAATTTTTATTGAACAATTTGATTTTCTTTAAGTTGTAAAGAGAATTATTTTTACAAAAATCTTCTATAAATTATCAGGAAAGGGAAAATTATTTATTTATTCAGTCTGTATTTTTAATTATACGCTTTCTTATATTTGCTTTAAGGCGATGGAAAATATTTAATCTCACGCCGATCAGTATTTAAGGCAAATGCAAAAGTCTTGAGTATATAAATTTTTTTTTGTATTTTTAGAATTAAGGCGATGAATAATGTCTAATTTCTCGTTGATTGCATTTTAAGGCAATGCAAAAATCTTAAGAGTATTTAATTTTTTTGTTGTATTTTCAATATTATAAGGCAATGGAATAAGTCTAATTTCATGCTAGTCAGAATTTTTAAGGCAATTAAATTTTATTAAATTAAATTCCTATTAAATAATTTTTTTTTGTATTTTCAAATTATTATAGCGATGAAAAATGTCTAATTTGGCGTTGGTCATAATTTAAGGCAATTCAATTTTTTTGTTGCATTTTTAATATTAAGACGATGAAAAATGTCTAATTTCTCGTCGTTTAGTATTTAAGGCAATGCAAAAGTGTCTTATTATTACATTTTTTTTGTTGTATTTTCATTATTAAGGCAATGGAAAATGTCTAATTTAGCGCCGGTCAGAATTTAAAGCAATTATAAATTTTATTAAATTAAATTCCTATTAAATTTCTTTGTTGTATTTTCAATATTAAAGCGATGAAAAATGTCTAATTTCACACTGGTCATAATTTAAGGAAATGCAAAAGTTTGTGGAGAGTTGATCCTTTAAAAGTGTACGTATTTTCATTTAAAAGATTGCAAACATAACCTAAAATTTTTTGCTTTTAATGCACCTTTTTTTTTAGAGAGGCTCACAAAAATTCTGGTAGATACAATTTTTTCTTTTTGCTATCAGTTTTTTTAGTACATTGCACAACGAGTAAATTGTCTAATGTCACGCCATTCACGTGATTTTATATTTAAATTGTCGTTGCAAAGAAATGATTTTAGTTTCGACGTTATAAAGACAATAGAATAAAAATTGATTTCCTCTAATAGTAGCAGCAGTAGCATGAAGTAAAAAATATAGTCGTTGATTCACGCGATAAAAAAAATTGTCTAGTCTCACGTCCTGCAGGGAACCTTATAATTACATACAAGTATACACAGTTCTTTTCTCGAAAAAAAAAGTTTAGTCACACATATCCATTATAGGCCGATTAAAGATAATTCTAAGTAATCCCTCTGCGCCTGCGAGAGAGTAGAGGCTGACACTATTAATTTATACCTACCTCTTAACATTGCCAATTTGGCAACCTGTTAACAACGGAAAACGTCGCACTCGTGCGAGTTTATGATGGTCAGCGAGCTTTGGCAACCCGTTAGTCATTTTGTGCAATTATTATACTATATATATATATATAGTGAAACCGTGTTCTTTGTGTATACACACAGTTTGTATATATAGGTCGGATGAACGCTTGGGGCGTCGCTTTAAAACACTCTGCGCGCGAAGGACGACAACGACGACAGTGAGGAGGACGACAACGACAACGACGATGATGACGACGACCGTGGTGACGACGCGCGGGGAATGGGATTGTGTATATACGACGAGTAGGTGGGCTGTGGGTCGAAGGGAGGGCCGAGGGGTGGCTATAAACCATCACGTGGGGGAACTCCAACTCGATGGTGGGGGTCACACACGGGCGGGGTTTTCGATCTCACTTCCCCTTCGTTCCTCTTTTGCACTGTCTTGCAGTTTTTATCCGCAGGTTTCACTTCGACAGCGTTAAAGCGCAAACTGAACCTCACGAAAAGCATCCTCGTTGCGTGAACTTCAACACTGAAAGTCAAAACACTAAACACTTTAACAGTTTTGTTTTTCCACGCTATTTTTTGAAAAAAAATTTTCTCTCCGTTTTCTTTCGTAAATAATGTTTTTCTCCTCTTTCTAGAGTTAAAAATGGATTAACTTTGATGAAGATTAGGGAAAAACGGAAAGAAAAGTAAAAGGAAAAACGCTAGCAAATCGCTAGGAAAAAACGTAGAAAAAACTAGTGGAAAAAGTTGGAGGAAAAAAATAAATTTGAGGATATATGGAGTTTTCTCACCCCAGCGTGTCTTGGTCGTCAAGCTCTGAGAGAGGGTGGTGTTAATGGGCGTACTCGCGGTTAACACCCTTGAAGGTCGAAGGTGGGGATATCTTGGGACGGTGACGAAAGGAAGCGTTTCGGATCCCAAAGGATGGCGGGGGTGTTGTTGACGAGGGGATGAGAGAGAAAGAGAGTGAGTGAGAGAGGGGGAAGTGGAGCGTCGGAAAAGGCGTCACGTACAACGCCACCCGGATTGGCGCCGGAACACCAATCCGCGCGGTGAGTGCTCATTATCGCCCAACTGAGACTGGAGCGAGAGGATGCCCCCCCACTCTTGAGCCACAAGTCAGTCGATCCCCACTCTTTGGCCATGGCGATACGTAGGGGAAGGGAGGAGGAGCCCCGACAGCTTCAGTCTTCGCGTTGCTGCCCTCCAGCATTCACGCCTCCCGCGTCCGTTCCACGGCCTGTGCGCCTCTTTTGCCCTGCTGTATACGCACACGCGGCACACAGTTCCCCGGGACTTTAGCACACCGACACCTTCGCGGGAGGTGTGGGGGTGAGCCCCAGAGGAGGTGTCAATCCTAGCGCTGCTCAGTGACCATCGCGGCGCCACCCAAGTAACACCTTCACCTTTCACGATCCCGCGAAAAACGTTGAATCTTTCTCTCGCTGGGTCGCCGGCCGTCGGATCGCGACAATTTACTGAAAAATAAATATCATGTGCTTTAATTTTGTGACTGTCCGTGGATGACGTTTTGGTTTTTTTTACAAAAGTGTCGAGTGAAGAAATAGTGCCGTGTTTGAAACTCGAATCAGTGATCAGAGGGAGTTTTGTTTTTTTTGGAAGTGTTATTTTTTTGTGCAGTGCCTCTGATGCGAGTGAATGACAGAAAATGTCACAGCAACAAGAAATTTTGATGAAATAGTTAATGTCTAGTTATATTTTGGATAGAAATGTGACTCCGTCGTTGGTGGTAAATAAAACAGACAGTGTGAGTGAAGAATAAGTGTGTAGGGCAAAGGTTTTTGAGTCTCTCGCGCGACTCAGAACATCTCGACCATCTCGATGAGATTCGAACTAGACACGGCGTGCAGGGGTACCCACTGCGCCAGCACTCCGCTACCTGCACTGCATCAACATCATCGTCTTGGGTCTCATTTGGAGGAGACCTCCTCCTGCTCCGCGAAGGGCATCGAGACATTTCAAATTCGATTAAGAGAAACAGTTGAGACTAACGTGGTTGAGGGTGCCAAGACGGTGCTCAGGGGGGAGGCGGGGGGGCCTGGAATGGCGTACCCCGCACCAGCGACAGCTTTGAATCGGCACTCACCCTTTTCCTCCTCCTCGGCTACCTCGATTGCAAATTCGGGTCCAGGTAATCCCAACGGACATCTCACTGTGTCTAGTGCTCATCTTCCGGCACCGGCGGCACCAAGACCCACAGACTTTAGTGTTTCCACCCTATTGACAGCGGCGAGTACACATCCACCGCTTCTTGGTGGTTCGTCGTCGCAAGGGAGCATTTCACCGCCACCTGGTGGACCTGGAAGTCCAGCAGCGGCACCAGAAACTCCGCCACCCTTATCCCTGCAACGTGAACTTTCGCATAATTCATCAGCGGTAGCCGCTGCTAGTTACTTTGGTGCTTTAGCAGCCGCCGGCTTCTATAATCATAGTGCACATCTACCACCAGTGAGTTCGCCTAGTGCTCATCATCTACAGAGCAAAGCCATCCTCGCTGGAGCTCATCATCATCCGCAATTTAATCCGCAAGCTCTCGCACATCCAGGTAAACATTATATTTCTACCCCTGCTCATTAGCGCAAAGTCAATTCTTCGATATATTGTCTTCTTTTCTTTTTTCCATTTCGTACAAAAAACTATAGTGGAGGAATTTGTTGTAATAACCAGTTTTTGTGGTGATTTTAATCACGCGAAACAACCGGTGCGGAATATTGTATAAATGTACGTGTTTACGTGTGCGTATTTGTTGTCATTAGCGAGAAACCGGAAATGTCTGATCAGGTCTTTAGACACCAGATGGATAACTTAGGAAGTCACTTTCGATAAGAAAACTCGAGTAACTTGCAGTAGCTCTTTTTTTATCTTGGGGGAATTGTTTTATATTCTTGAAAAGTTTTCCACTTCGCAATTATCGGATGAATTTGTCTCTTATTTCATCGTAGAAATAAAATTAGAGGGAATTTTCTGAAAGTTATTATTTAACAAGCTCGTTTAAAAACTGTTAACAAGTTTCAGAGCTATATATTATTAAGAGGGAAATATTAATTTAAAAAACATTTTTAAATATCAAATATTTTATTTAGAGGGAAAAAAATATAAAGTTTTGTTATAGTATAGTTGCGGCGTTTGTACTTTTAAAGTTTGCGAAAGTTTATTTTTACTAGCAGTTGCTAGTGTTTATACAATTTTAGAGACAAAAATTTAATGAAACAAATCTTTCGGAATTTTGATGCGTTTAGCAATATTACACTGAAAAAATGTTCCTATATAGGAACAACATTAATTATTTTTTGAACGACTTTTAAATTTCTATTTTTTGTCAAAAAAATTATTTTTTTGTTAATTACAAAAGTTAATTCTCAACTAAGTAAAGGTTCAATTTTAATTAATTGTCTTTTTTCGATAGTAATTTTTAAAAATATTTAAGCAGAAAAACAATTACGATCATTTGAACGTTCAAAAATTATGAAGCATCTGAAAAAAATTTATTTGATTCAAGTAACTTGTCTATTATCGAATAAATATTTACTTAAATCATTTTTATTTCAAATAAAATAATTTTTATCAAAATCGAATAAATTGTATATTTGAATCAATAATTTCAGTATTTGATTCAAAAAATACGAATTAATTGATTTCGATTAAAATTGTTCGAAGAGAGTAAATATTTTTTTGATTAGACCAGAATTTATATTTGTCAATCAATTCAATTTAATTGTCAAATAAATTGAATTTAATTCAAATAAAATTTTTTAGAGTAAAATTCGCGTTTACTTCAACAAGGAGAAAATAAATATTGAACATTATTTAATTAAACAGTTTAACTAAGCTTTTTGAATATAACAATTAGTAATTTTCGAAAATGTTTATATCGGAAAAAAATTTTTCATTTGACATTCAAAATTCGTGCGCGAATCATGTTTTGCAAGGAATTTTTTTTATGAACTCTTACTTTGTTTTTTAATTCAAATATTTGAAATTAATTAAAATCTTCGATGACAACTTCACCATTTTACAAAATTTCAGAGAATTCGCATAAATTTTATCAATATTTTTATAAAATGATGATCCAAAGATTCAGAATTTGTTGAAAGAAACGAAATTTTTTGCTGATAAAATTTTCCTGAAGTTTTGAACGTTCAAAGAAGGACATTTTTTTTTCTGGTTAAATATTTTCAAAAAATGTATTTAAATGGAAAATAATGTAAATTAAACATTTACTGAGTTAAAAATTAATTTTTTTTCATCTGGAAAATAATTTTTTTTTAATAAAATACAAATTAAAAAAGGAGTAGCGAAATTTTTCGTTAATTTGAACTTTCGAATTTTTAGAACAGAACGATATGAATATTTTCAAAAATTGATGATTGTTATAAAATATAAAACAAAATTTTTAAAATCTTTATAATCTATTTTTTAATACGTGACGAAATATTATTGCAATAAAAATTTGACTTGAATAAATTAATAAATTTTGTCCATTCGAACGTTCAGAACTTTTTAGGATTTTCAAACTGGATATAATTTAAAAAACTTACAAAAATAGCAAAAATATAATTTTGCATAAATATTGAACGTTTAAGAAGGAAAGTAAAATTTAAACTATTTTAACTGTAAATAATAATAGAATCAGCTCCTTTAAAAAAAACTATATCCATTTAGTAAAATAAATATGTTCAAAATAAAATATATTTTATGTAATAAAAATAAATTAATAGAAATTACTGAATTTAAAATATAAAAATCACTGACTTTAAATTATAATATTTAAGTAAATCGTAAATTAAAATTAGGTCAGACTAATTCAATTTCGACAATTTTTTAAAATATTTAATGAAAACAATATGAAAAACCAATTTGGAAAAAAGTTTTTTTTTTTGTAAATGATAAAAGCCAAGGTGACGAAAATTGTGTTGACAATTTATTATATACATCCAAATGTAAAAATTATCAAGACAAAAGAATAATGTTATTTTAATGATTATATTCCTGATTGTACTGACATGACTATAGATTTATTGTATTTATTACAATATTCATCCTATATATGAGGGAACATAGAAATCTGTGCAATAAACATCAGATGTCTTTAGAATCGTATTGATCACTGCAATAATATTATTCACGTCCCTATTTTACAATAAAAGCAATAGTATTTGTGATGCAATGTCATCAAAAACGAGAACTGTCAAATCATCGATTAAGTAATAGAAAATATTTTCATTTCTTTTTATAAATACAAAATAAAATAAATATTTAGAAAAATATATATAAAAGTAAATGTATAAAAAAATAAATATAAAAAGAATAAATATATTTATAGCTAGAAAATATAATCAGAACAAGGGAAAGTAGATTTATAGAAAAATGAATAAGTTTTTTTCCTGAGAAAATGAAAAGAGAAAAAAAAAATAAAAATTGTTTTCGTCTCTAATTATTTAGATGAAAATTCGATTTGAAAATATATGAAAATAAATGAAAATAAATTTTTACAGTTATCAGTGGTGTGTGATACGTGTGAATTCATTTGTTTTGTGGCCTTGCAATATATTTCTCGTGCTAAAAACTCGTTGTAGATAATGCCAAATGACAAGTTGAACGTCATTCGTTCCATTTATGATATACTTAATTCTTTAAAATGCGTGAGAATGGATATTAGAATATTTATTTATTTTTATGACAAGTGACCTTACTGACGGTGTAACTTTCTTATCAAATTCAATGCGAGTAAAGTCTGTCATTTTACAAGTTCATGTTTGAATTTACATTTCTTTTTCCATTTTCTCTTTTTCATTTAAAAAATTAGAGACAAAAATTACTATTTTTCTTTGGAAAATAATAATTAAAATAGAAAATAAAATACAAAATCTTTTATGGGAAAGGAAAAATGACAGTAGAATATTTTTTTAGAAATTAATAAAGTGATTATTATGTTATGTAAATATTAGCAGAGATGAAGTAATAACGCAAATATTTAAAGTTAATGTAAGGCTTGTTGGAATAAAAAAAAATACACTTCTGTGATAATTGCAATGTTTGTCGCGCACAATTCATGTTATCAGACCAAGTATTATATCACTCTTGCGAGTTTAATTGAATTAATTGATTAACAGAATTGAAAATTATCTCTGGGAAATCTGTAATTTATATAACTCATGTGCTGCGTGTCGTGCGTCGTTTGAATTAAAACTATTTTGACAGCAGATCTTAATTTCTGAAATTAGTGTAATTATTGTACTTAACAATATAATTTATACAATTGACTGTATAGAGAAAAAAATTCCTCTTAATGAAAACATTAATATTTCATGAATGAAGAGTTGAATTTATCGATAAATTGAAGAAAAAAGAGAATATTTATAACTAAATTTTTATATATGCGATATGGGAAGGGAAAATTATTCTAGATTTTTGTTAATGTGAAAATTTTCGGATTTTAACAATCGAATTTTGAATGCAAAATCGAGAATAGATAAAAATAAGAAATGATAAATGTTTGGAATAAAATTATTAATTACTCAATTACAAATAAGTGCGGAGAGTGAACAAATAATTTTAAAAAAAGAACTGAACGTAAAAATATTTTTTTTCTTAATTTTGATAATAATTTCATATAAATAAGTATATTCTACACTTTTTAGCAAATTTTCTCACAATATTTTCGATAACTAAGAAAGTACTAACGCATTTAACGAGATTTTTACCATAAGAAATAGTGCGTAACGCAGAAAAAAATCTTTCCGTCGGATGTGAGACTTGCCACTGACTTTTTTTTCTTTTTATCGACAGTTGAAGCGACAAACTTCATTTCAATTTTTTTAATTGTAATTTTTTTCTTAAATTTTTTAAGAGGGATTTTAATTACAATTTTTCGAAAATAGGATTTATTCTGACGAATATATTTTTCTTTTTGTATAAAAGTTAATAATTTTCAATTAATAGTTTTCAACCAAGATGCACAATACTTTTTTTTAAATTTGTGTTTTAAATGTTTGTGTGTTTAAATATTATTCAAAAACAGGGTGGCCACATGTCAGTAAAGTCAGGGAAATGTCAGGGATAAAAATATTTTGTCAGTAAACTCAGGGAAATGTCAGGAAAAATTTTTTTGTCAGGGCAATTAAAGAAATTAAGACAGTCATGCAATACATTTTTGGCTCTAAACAAAAAAATTTTTGTCAGGGAAATTCGTTGTTATGTCAATAAAATGTCAGGGAAATGTCAGGAAAATTGATAAAGTCAATCTTGCGGCCACCCTGAAAAAATTTTTGCTTTATTTATTTTAATGGAAAATTTAAATAAAAAATTCTCTGAAAGAAACATTGCAATTGAAGGGAAAATATCAAGTTTAATAATTTGTTAATGTTAATCAGAATCAATATTATTTATTAAAATAATTATTTTTTTAAATTATTATTTGTCGAAAACTATTATGTATAGACAATATTATTCATTATTGTTAAGATTATTATTTATTGTATAATATAACTTATTACATATAAATAATATGTATCGCGCATGTTAGATTAAAATTATGCGTATATT